ACACATCTATTATGCGCTAAATCCCGTGTGGCACCGCTGCGAAATATGTCTCTTCCGCGTTTGGAGTTATGTGCAGCATTGTTGCTAGCTCAGTTGATGCACAAGATAATGGAATGTGTTAATTGCAAGTTTACTCGTAGTTTTTATTGGTCAGATTCAACAATAGCGCTCTCATGGATAAGGTCTTCTCCCAGGAAATGGAATACTTTCGTTGCAAATCGTGTAAGCGCGATTCAGGATATTTCGAATCAAGAGGACTGGCATCACGTTGATTCATCACATAACCCTGCAGATATCATTTCAAGAGGCATATCACCTACACTATTGCTCACAACTAAGTTATGGTGGAACGGTCCAGAGTGGCTGGCAAAGGACGCAGCGAAGTGGCCTGTCAAGCCTTGGCTCGCTGAACAAAATCCACCCGAAATGAGAAGGGTAGTCACAGCTGCGATAGTCGAACAAGAACCGTTGGAAATATTCAGCAAATATTCAACATTTGACAAGTTAATTCGAATACATGGATACGTGCTACGATTTATTAACAATTGTCGTAATTCCGCGTCTAAGCTCACTGGAAATTTGACAGCAGGGGAGCACAATATGGCTGCTCAATCATTAGCTAAAGTAGTGCAAGCAGTTGCGTTTGCAAGTGAGCTCAAGCTCCTACGTAATCATAAGCCATTATCGAGAAATAGCAGTTTATTGTCTCTCACGCCGATACTGGACGATCAAGGAATTTTACGAGTCGGTGGCAGGCTCCAAAGAGCCAAGCTTCCATTTTCAGCAAGGCATCCTATATTATTGCCATCCAAACACATTTTCACAAGATTACTGATAGAACATGAACACTCTCGACTACTACATGCCGGGCCACAAATGACCTTGGCTTCTATACGACAACGGTTTTGGCCATTAAACGGTCGAAACATGGTTCGCTTCATTTTGAAAAAATGCATTAAGTGTTTTCGCACCACGCCTTCAACTATTCAACCCATCATGGGCCAATTGCCCACGCAGCGAGTGCAAGCTTCTCGAGCTTTTGTTAGTGTGGGAGTGGATTATTGCGGACCATTTCAAATTCGTGAGTCCAAACGACGAAATGCAAAAACTATGAAATCATATGTAGCTATATTTGTATGCATGGCAACCAAGGCAGTTCATATAGAGATAGTCTTCGATCTTTCGACACAAGGCTTCATACACGCTCTTAAACGATTTATTGGTCGCAGGGGTAAGCCGAGCCATATTTTCTCAGACAATGCAACTAATTTCGTAGGAGCAAATCGCGAACTAAAAGAATTGCATAGCACATTTACAAGAGATAAGGACATAATGGCCCACGAAGCCGCTGTGCAAGGTTTTCAGTGGCACTTCATACCACCTCGAGCTCCTAATTTCGGAGGCCTTTGGGAGGCGGCAGTTCGATCGTTCAAGGCTCATTTTAAAAGGGTAGTAGGTACCGCTTTGCTAACGACAGATGAGATGCAGACTCTTTCCATTGAGATTGAAGCCGTACTCAACTCCCGTCCCATTACTGTCTTATCCAATGATCCCAATGATTTGGCATATTTATCCCCCGGTCATTTCCTTATTGGTGACGTGCTGACCGATTTACCAGAACCTGAAATGAGCGAGACCCGAGAAACTAGGCTTTCTAGATGGAAGCGAGTCGAACAAATGCGACAGCATTTGTGGAAAAGATGGTCAAGAGACTATCTTAATCAGCTCCAGCAGCGTACTAAATGGAAAACGGAAGACATTAACGTTGCACCCGGAAACATGGTACTTATTAAAGAGGACGATGTACCACCATTGTGTTGGCCTCTTGGTAGAGTTATGGAAATTCATCCAGGAGCCGATGGCGCAATAAGAGCAGTCACTGTTAAAACTGCCAAGGGAATTTTCAAGAGACCGTCAAATAGACTAAGTTTACTTCCCATTGAACAATAATACTTATTTTACTTCTATTTTTGTCAACTAGCAATTTACTTGTATTCAATCTAAATTTGTGAACAGAATTATTATCTAAGTTTGTTTTAGCCGCTGTTATCCAAGTACAACTACGTTATTATATTGAAAAGCTATGGCTTTCCAAGGCGGCCGGCATGTAGAGTTTTGGTTTTGGCGCCACGCGAAATATTAATCTAGATGGCACACTAAAGGCGAAGG